AAAAGTAATAATGTTATGTTTCAATTATAGGGGACATTGGTGAAACCACAGCTCAAATACTGTGTGCGTTTTGGATTTCTTACTTAAGAAAAGATGTAAATGTATTGAAGGGGGTTCAGAGGAAATCTACTATATTGGTGCCTGGAATAAGTAGGTTGACTTAGGAGGAAAGATCGGACAGACTGGCTTTGTTATCACTGGAGTTTATATGAGTGCGGGATGATTTGAAGTGTATAAGATCCTGAATGATCTTGATAAGGTGAATGTGAAAAGGGTGTTTCCTCGTATTGGTCAGTCCAGAACTAGGAGGCACTGTTTTTAAATTAGGGATCTTTCTTTCAGGACAAAGATAGGGATAATTGTTTTTCTCTATCAGAGTTGCAAGACCTTGGAACTTTGCCTCAGCAGTTCATGGACACGATACCATTGAATATATTTTAGAGATGGATAAATCTTCATTCAGCAAAGGAATTAATGATTCTCAGAAGATGGGAATGTGGAATTTGAAACACAAACTGATCAGCCGCGATCTCATTGAAATTTTTTTACCCCAATTTTGTATGTTCATATAACTAGATAGCTTGATTTTATATTTTTTGTTTTTATCTTTTGCATACTAAATTTGCATTCAGTTGTTAATGAAACTCTGTAGCCTCGTGTGAGTGTGTTTCAGTGACTGATGGCTACGTAAACTAAATTTTTAAAAAATGATCTATTAATCCAGATTTCATTCTAGGATCTGACTTGTTTAGCAGTACCATTAACTGGGAATCATAAGATGGAGATGAGGAAGTTTTTTTTTAATCTCATAGTCAGAAGTCTTTGGAACATTCTTCCCCAGAGTTCAGCAGAGAAAAAGCTGTTGATAAACTCTTGCCTAACAAGGGAATCAAATGTTATCAGAGGTAGGCTGGGATGCGGAGTTGAGCCCAAAGAACAATCAGTGTGATTTTACTGAATCGCAGAGCAAGCTAGAGGGTCTTACTCCTGTTCTTGTTTCCTACATTTGTAGGTACTATGGAATCTACAGCCTACAAGACAGGTGCACACTTTGGATGGTGTTATTTATAAACAGAGTTTAAGATAACGTCTCACGTCTGATTTTCCAATTCAGAATAATGAGGGGATGCTAGATGTAAAACAAAAGAGGTTTCTGCATTTTTCTACTTTGTCTTCAACTTTTGAAGATCGCTGCCAAATAGTGGCATCTCAAAATTAAAAACTCTCTCTCTAACTTTCCTGGCAATAGAGAAATGAATGGATTCTTCACAGTAACAACTAATCTTTGTGTTGCAGAATGCCTCCAGCAATGCCATGCATTTGTTTCAAATTTGTTCATGGTTCGTTGCTATCTGGGCTAGTATTTATTGCCTATCCCTATTTATAGTTGAGAAGATGGTGATGAGCAGCCTTCTTGAACCACTTAAGTCCTTGAGGTGAAAGGACACCCAGAGTGCTTTCAGGAAGGGAGTTCTAGGAGTTTGACCCAGAATACTGAAGGAATGGCAATGTAGTGCCAAGATGGTGTGTGGCTTGGAAGGGAACTTGCAGGAATCATCGTGTTCCCATGCACTGCTGCCTCTGTCATTATTGGTGATACAGGTTGCATATTTGGAAGATGTTGTCAAAGGAGCCTTGCAGAGGTGCTGCAGTGTCAGTGGTGGAGGGAGTGAATTTTGAAGCTGGTGAATGGGGTGTCAGTCTAGCGACTGCTTTGTCATAGATGGTGAAAAGCTTCTTGAGTGTTGCTGGAGCTGCACTCATCTGGGCAAGTGGGGAGTATCCCATCACACTTCTGACTTGTGCCTTGTCGATGGTGGACAGGCTTTGGGAATACTGAAGCTGAGATACTCAGCTACATGCCTCAGAATTCCCAGTTTCTGATCTGTTGTAGCCAATGTACTTTTATTACTGGTCCACTTAAGCACCTGATCAATGGTAACTTTCAGGATGTTGATAGTGGGAAATTTGGCATTGATAATTCCATTAAACATCAAGGAATGATGGTTAGGTTCTTACTCGTAGAAGATGGTCATTTCCTGGTACCTGTGTGATGCAAATGTTATTTGCTACTTACCAGCCCAAAACTGGATATTGTCCAGGTCCTGTTACACAAGGACATAGACTGCCTCAGTATCTGTTGCATCACAAACGGCACTCAACATTGTGCAATTATCAGCAAACATTTTAACTTCTGATGTCATGATGGAGAGAAAGTCATTTATGACACAGCTGAAAATGGTTGGATCCAAGACACTACCCTGAAAAAAGCCAGGACTTTCAATGCAATGTGGTAGTATCCCTACCTCTGAGCCAGGAGGCCAGGGTTCAAATCCCAGCTTATCCAGAGCTGTGTAATAACAACTTTGAACAGGTTATTCAGAAAAATCTATCCTGAAAAACACCTGCAATCATGTCTTGGGTCTGAGATGATTGACCTCAAACAACAACAACCATCTTCCTTTACAGAACCATCTTCCTTATCATCCAGTGGATTGTTTACTCTGACTCCCATTGTCAGTGGATAAATCAAGAGTATTGTGCAGTTGAGCATTATCACAGTGATAAGGGGCTGTTGGATGTGGTAGGTTGGGACTAAGAAGCTGAGAGTCAGGGAGCATAGAGTCTTGTAGGAATGTCAGGGCACGTGTGGCCTCAAATAGGGGAAGGGAGAGGGTCAGCAAGGGCATTGGGACTGGGATGGTGAAGGGATCAGGGACAAAATGGGAACATGGCTGGTGACACTGACAGGCTCGGCAGAAATGGGCAAGATGGGGAGACAAGGGCCAAAAGAGACAGCAAACCAGTGAGGAAGGAACAGAAATGGAGTGATTTGATGTGTGATGGGGCAAGATGATACTGGAAAGGTCCAACATGAACAGTGACTCACTCTAGTGCTTTTTCAAATCAACTGTGTAAATCTTTTGATTTTGAAAGGGTTACACATTAAGTGGGAGGAGATTTAAATAAGGGGAACAGAATTGCAGCTTAGATTTTCTGGCCTAGCGAGAGGGCATCCTATTAATCCCAAGTCTAGTGAATGGAGAATCATGACCTGCTGCCTTCAATTCCCACATAACCAGCAAATCAATAGTTCTCACAATTTCACATTCCAACGAGATCACAAGAAGTCATGAAGCCAAAGTACATTGTGGCGAATTGCTATCTTGTGATGTCTCAGGTATGCATGAAGCAATGCAGCAAAGGGAGGGACAGTAAATCCATAAGCAACTGTGTTGGTGCAGGCCAATCATCTCAAGGACTGCAAGCTCTGGCATCCTGGCTGGAAGCTTCTGGTACACAAGGGGAAGGATTGCAGGGAGGGTGCAGTGTGCGAAGTTGGTGGCAGGTGCTGGCAACTCCACCATTCCAAGGCAAAATTAGAACCTCTCTGAAAGGAAGCTGAGGATTATGAATGGGGAGGTACACTGGCATGCCTTCAGTACCCAGGTAATGTTCACTGCTGCTATTCACCTATAGGTTTGAGCACGGGAACATGCACTGGTATTATTCAGACTAATCCTGTGCACTATTAAACATGCATATTTGCCTACTGGTCTTCATGGTGGTCCTGAACTGTTGTACACAAAGGGTAATGCATCCCATCCTGAAACATAAATACCTCAATAATTGTAATTTTCTGACTGAATGGTAAGCCACTATCCACAACAGTTAGTACAATTCAAATATTCATTTTAAAGTTTCCAACATATCAGATTTACAAGTTGAGATTGATTGGTACAGAATGTTGTGACTGGCTGCCGACTGTTCACTAAGATAAAATATATTGTGTTTTCAGATGTGTATATATCAATACATGGCATTCCCATGATTTAATCATTTACTGTTAGGTGAATATCAACCCGTTTGCAATTTAAGGTACTTTTGCTCCCAAAGGTATTTTTCTGTGGAACTGTTAGAAAAATTGTTTGGTGCTCAAAGAGTTAAGTGCATCAGATATATAAATTTTGCTTTGAGACAGAGCATTATTAGATGTTGTAATTATGTTCAAATACCAGGTGCTGGCATTTTAAGCTGGTTTCTCATAACTGTCATTTCGCCTGTAGAAAAGGAAACACATTGGGTCAAAATTTGCTGGAAAAGTAACAGTGTGTGAATAATGTTCCCAGTTATTAATGTGCAAATCAGCTAGAAACCCGCAGCAAAGAAGAGGATTTCAAACTATTCGCAAGCTGTTAGACGATTTGCACATTATAATGGCTAGCTTTGCAAAAACGACATCTCATGCAAAACCCTTTGCTGAGTTTTGTGAGGCTCTGCATTTACACATTATTTGCCAATTAAACTGGCCACAAAAATTAAAGTCTTATTAATGATATGAGTGCACGTTTAAACATGTGATTATCGTTAATAACAACCAATCAATTTGTGTAACACTGAAAATGAATTTTAAAAATGTGGAGTATCATTCCTTCATGTAGTAAATTATTGGAGCCGTTAAAAATGTTAACTTTAAGACCATTGTAAGTTTATTTATTCCACAGGAGCTGCAGGTTAAAATGAGAAAGCAAGGTCAAGATGATAATCATGTGAACTATTTTTCACCCATCAAATGAATTTGTGCAATAGTTACCAGACAAGGCCACTGCAGCAAACAATTTCAGCGGATTTAAAATGCACTTACATGCAGTTTTGAAGAGAAAGGAATGAAGGACATAGTAAAAACACAGACTGGTAGCTTACCAGAATTTGAAAGACATCTAATGAATTTTGTTGCTTCTAAAATTATATGTTGTTACCAACATGACATGCCTCTTCATTGTAGGCAACATTGGAGGCAAACAATGTTTGGATAATGCCCAAAGTAGAAATCAAAACCAACCACTGAAACACCCTAGTAGAATAATTTCTTTGAGTGCCACTTGATGCCAAAATGATTGAGTGTAGAGGACTACCACAGATGTTAAAATGGTTAAGATGTCCACCTGAGATGAAGAAGCATAGATTACAATTTGTCTACAGTGTTCTTCACAAGGTACCTTAAATTCATATGACTCTTCAATGATGACCTCCAACTTGGAATGTTCACCCAGGATGGGTTTCCCCATCTCTGCAATACGCCGAGCTTCTTCTTCCTCTGCCGTCAGTTTCCCATTGGATTCATCTGCATATCAGGAAATGCATTGTTAGAAACCCTGTCTGCACACCACAGAACAACCAGCTCAGCAAGCTAACAAACAACTGCATCCACAACCTAAACTACAAATTTTCACTAAGATCTTAAAAAAAAGTGAGAAATTTCACAGGATGTTCTCAATTTTCCCACTAATCTGTGCACTTGTATGGCTATACAGCAGCCTGGAATGAAATGCACAGGCCTTCTTCTGTGCCACTGCTCATTGAAAAAAAAAATCTAGCATTGCACAATACAGAAAATTTAAAGGAAACATTGCTCTTGAACCTATACTTGGTATCATAGGTCCCTTTCGCTGTGAGCTCATCTAGATAAATGGACTAAAAACACTTGCTAATAGCCAGACACATGATCTTACCAAAGCCCAATCTCTCAGGTCAAAATGAGATAAAAGTAGATCTAAACATTTTGCTCCTAGGAACTAACTACTGAGAGGCCTTTTGCATTTTAATCAGTGATTTTAAGATACAGTTTGAGATATGGTATTTATCCAGCCAAAAGCAATTGGATAGCAAAGAATCTTTGTTGTTTGACCCTGGGAGATCTTGTGGCATAGTAGGTAGTCAGAAACTCTGGATGCCAGTCCCACGTCAGGGCTTTTAGCTATGGAAGACACATTCATAACATGGTCAAACAGGTTGATTATCAGCCTGTAAATCTTTTCAATACACCTGATGACAGAAGGTAAGACTGGGAGCGTCTCCTGGTCAGCCATCCTGCAGAAGGCAATGACAAACTACTTCAGTACTTTGTCCTTAGTGTGGAGCAGTGCAATGGAAGTCTATGGCTTGATACTCGGAAACGAGGGTGGGGGAAAGGGCAGACAGGTAGACCCTAGTTCAGCCCACTCAATTCCATCCTCATCTTCGGTTAATTAAAATGGCAAAAGCACTTGAACTTTAATATTCTCTGCAGCACTTGTGAGTGCCATTTTCTGATCAAACGAGAGACAGCACACTTATGTAAGGTTACATTCATAGGACTTGTAACAATTAATGGTCCAAGTAAACTGATTTAGGTGATCTGTGGATTTGTTTTATTAAGTATGCCTCGAGGAATGGATTTAGCATAGATTGTATGACAGTTGATAAAATTCTACATAAAGTAAAATCATTCCTAGGTTAATTGAACAAATAATTCAATTTTAGCTGTCACCTTTAAACAACAAGCTCTTGAATAATGATTGTCATAACCTAGTTCCCTAAAGACATCTAACCTGCAGGTCCAAGTGAAATTAATCATCAGTGACATTATCTCACTTCAACTTCAGTTCATACATGTCTGTGTGTACTGCTGATTTAATTTCAAATAGTCATTTGTTGAATTGATTTGAGTTAATCCAAAACATCAGATTATTCTGATAAAATATAAGAGCTTGAATCATGCTTTGGTGCTGCACCACTGGTGCAGGCTGTGTTGGAATATCATACAACAGTTATTTACTGATATATCATACCACAATGACTAGTTTGTGCTGGCATACTCTACCACAAATTAGACTCATTCCAAATGCCATAAAACAAATAGTGACTCATTCTGGGTAATGTTCCACATTTACTGACTCAAAACACAAAGACATCTGACATCATTCACACTGTAGATGGAAACATGAAATTGCATAGATATAAATTGCATGAACGGGCAAAACTGTGGCGAATGGATTTCAATGTAGGGAAACGGGAGATCATTCTCTTAGGACCAAAAAAGGAGAGAACAGGATATTTTCTAACTGGTGAAATGCTAGAAATAGTGGAGGCCCAAAGAGACTTGGGAGTCTGGGTACATAGACAATTAAAATGTCTTGCACAGCTGGAGAAAATAATCAAGAAGGCTAATGAATCATTGGCCTTTATATCTAGAGAACTAGAATACAAGGAGGGGGTGAGGTTGTTGACTTGCTCACCGATCTGGCTTGTTTTTGTTCAGAGTTTCGTCCCCATGCTAGGTGACATCATCAGTGGAGTCTCCAGTGAAGCGATGTTGTTCTACTCCGCTTGGAATTCATACTGTCTGGTCTGTTATGGTGAGTACTGTCATTTCTGGTTTTGATCTGTACGGGTTCATATATGGGGTCCAATTCTATATGTTTATTGATTGAAGTACGGGTGGAGAACCGTGCCTCTAGGAATTCCCGTGCGTGTCTATGTTTGGCTTGGGCTACTATGCTTACTTTGTCCCAGTTAAACTGATGGCCTTCATTGTCTTAATGTACAGATATTAAGGACGTATAGAATTGCACTCCATATATTCCCACACAGATCAAAACCGGAAATGACAGTACTCACCATAACAGACTGGACAGTGTAAATTCCAAGCAGAGTAGAATAACATCGCTTCATCGGAGGCTCCACTGACGATGTCACCTAGCATGGTAACGAAACGTCTAAACAAAAACAAGCCAGCTCGACAAGCAAGTCAACAACCTCACCCACAACCCAAGCTACAGATCTTTGCCAAAACTTTAACCAAGGAGGGGGTAAAAGCTATGCTTCAGATGCATAATGCCTTTGTTAGACTACCTCAGGAATATCATGAGCACATATCTTGAAAGCACACATCAGCCAGTTACAGAGAGACACCCTGGCTTAGCTGGTAAACAAGGAGACGTCTAGCAGTGCAGTCCATTGATTCTCACTCAGTGGCTTATTAATTATTTCTCTATCACTCAATGTAATGATATGAATATATTCTAAAGCATAAAATCACTGTTACTGACTTCCTGTCACCAAATATCGGCTACTGCTTCCCAAACTCTTACCAGTGGCTCCATTTTGAGGATTGAAAAGTATCATGACCCTTCAGTGAGAACTTTAATAGCAGGGTGGGTAGTGCTGTGACAGTAGGGATCTATCAGATCAGGAGCACAGCTGTTATAACCCACAGTGGATATTGCTGCCTTAGTGCTTGAGACCCCAAAATTTCAGTTTATGATGCCACTTGGGGTCGTGACCCCTGTTTGGGGAGCTCCAAGTTACGCCAATAAAAAAAGTAATATACCAGCACTAAATAGCCTGTGCCAGTTAGAAGATTTACTACCAAATTTTCTTGATCTTTGTTCCCTTGGGGAACTCCAATTCCATATTCAAAAAGGTCACGGAAAGTAGGCAACAAAACAATATGCCATGTTTCTGCCTCTGAGTGATTCCCAGAGCTGTCCCGAGGAAGTGATACAGACCCATTGCTCACATAAAGATGAGATGGGAGAATCAAAGCATTCTTAGTTGGCACCCTTTGTTTCGATTATGTGTTCATGTGGTCAAGGGGTTCTCAAATGCAGCCCACCCCGTCTCAAGAAGCTAGAGCAGAAAGCTGGTGACAGGATGGTCCTCTTAACAGAAGTCTAAAAAGTCTCAGCTGCTGAAGATAACTGATAATTTCTTTTTTACCTGTAAGTAACCTCAAGGCTTGAGGGCCTTCCAACCTACTCTGTAGCAACAACAGTCAGAAGGGAGACACGAATATATCAGTAAATTTATAAAAGCTGCCGCTGGCTGCAGTTTGTGCCTACGCTGGAGGTGCCCACATTACTAACCCAGGCCGCTACAATTTTTTGTAGCTTGTTCTGGAGCATTGTGGCATATTTTCAGAGTATTGCACATGTCCAATACTCAGCTAGAGGGAGCCAAGTTGAGGAAACTCAACCTTTGAAAGTTGACTAGACAGGTGTTGAGATAAGAGCTCTGCCAGTGGACTCACTTCTTAGGGATCACAGTGGGCAAACATATAATATAAATTAATCAGGGTCCGGGTAAACCAATCTGAAGTCGATTCTGATAACTGAACTCGGGATTTCTTCTAAAATGAATGTTACAACATTATATACTGACTCAGCAAGGCTTGTGTCTGGCAACTAGTTGTTTCTGTTCACTGGGAGCATTCCTGAATACAGACAGGAGAAGAGGGCAGGAGCAGCTTGAGCCTGTTAACCCCACAATGAAGGGAACCATGTTAGTAGAAACTGACATCTTACCATCAGCCAATAAGAGAGCTGCAGAGAGAGAAAAAAAGAGTGAAATCCAATGAAATGGTAGCTGAAGACACTGTTACTACACACAATGAAACAATCTGATCTGAGATGAAAACACAAACTTTCACATAACAACTACAAGAAAAACCTCTGCAAATTGTTAAACGTTGAATATAATGTGGTGGAAGAGAAATGTGCTTTTTCCACCTAAATTACTGTTTACATTTTTATTTTTCTTCTTCTTTTATAAAATATTTTATTTTATTTTTATTATTTTTATTTGTTCATGGGATGTGGGTGTCGCTGGCTAAGCCAGCATTTATTGCTTTCCATAATTGCTCTGAAGAAGGTGACGGTGAGCCAGGTTCTTAAATTCCTGCAGTTCTTGGAATGAAGAGATACCTCCAATGCCATAAAGGAGGGAATTCCAGGATCTGTGGTTGTATCAAACCATCACATTAATATAAATGTTACTCAGTACTAAATCCCGGAAGTCCTGGCTTTATTCACTGTGAAAAGCTGTTCAATATTGGCATTCAGAAAAGCTGTGCCCCCTCCATCTAAATTGCGTCATTCTGTTGAAAATGTCACCAAACAGTACTTCAACAAATATATCAGCCCCAATGGTTCTATAATAGAAATGCTATCCAATTTGACAATAGATGTAAAGTTAAAAAATTCTATATGTAAGAAAACAGGGAGAGATGGTGGTGTAGTGGTTATGGTACTGGGCTAGTAATCCAGAGGTCTAAGATTATTGGATACTGGATGTTAATTAGTAGAATTTAAATTCAGTTAATTAGCTGTGGAATTATAAAGATTGTCTCTGTAATGATGACCATGACAACTATCATTACTGTTGTAAAACACCCATCTCGTTCACTAATGGGGAAGGAAATCTGCCATCATTACCAAGTCTGGCCCACATGTGATTCACACCAAACACACTGTGGTTGACTCAGAAATACCTAGCAAGTTTCTCAGTTCAAGGACAATTAGGGATGAGAAACAAATGTTGCCCTTGCCAGTAACAGTCACATCCCAAGAAAAAGAAAAGAACTGTAATAGTATTAACTTTCAAATCACTTTGCTTCCACATAATAATCCTCAGAATTTCAATAATTTGCATGCCATTTCACAGTGATTGTCTTATAGCATAAGACAACATGCCAAATGAACAGCACTGAATCCTGTAAAACAGACATAACATTGTAACTGAAAGCCTTACATTGAGGATGGTGTATGCAACAGACAGTTGGGGGCCTTAGCTGGAGGGATGTGACACAAGTGTAAAAAATGAAGATGCGGGTGTAAAAGATGACGTTGCAGCTGGGCCTTATTCTGAGAGTGTGTAACAACGTATTACAACTGAGAGTCGTGTAATGAAGGTGCGTAACAGAGCATTAAATTGAGATATTATCAATGATAATTAGTGTAGCAGAGATACTGTTAGAACTTACAGCCTAACCACAGAGGTGGAGTGTGTAACAGAGAGAAGATTATCATTGAGTTCCTTTCAACAAAGGCTCAGCGGTTCAAAGCAGAGTCCTATAATATGTACACATATTGGATTATGGTTTCTCCCTTATGCAAACCTGAAATGCCACGTTTCATCCATCTTGGTTTCTCCAGGACAACAAAAAAGTTTTCCTGCTTTTCGTACTCTTCATCATCCACAATTTTCACCTGGATTGTCTTCCTGCAGAGAAAGAAAACAAATCAAAAACCTTTTGAGAATAAGGACCAATCTGTAAGAGTGGGTGTAATCTGACAATACAATGTCTGGAGCATTGGAGGTGGCTGGTTCTTTGCAAACTTTAAAGGAAAAGGTGCACTGAATATTTGAGAAGGAACTGAAACATATAGGACACCAGCCTCAGGGACTGTATGTAGCTGGTTTCCACCAGAACAGTGTGATATTTGCAGCGGTTACCTGACAAGCTGGTATGCCATCTTAAACTGTCCAAATTAGCTTATATTGGCCCTCACCTGCTGTAAATCAGCCATAGTCCTGATTTAGTGATGCTGAAATAGCAATTCCCTTCAGCTGCTTTTAAAGTGCCAATTCTTCATCACTTCCAAATAGGGAGGCCAAATCTGTTTGCTCTTCTCTCATTTTCCCTTTCTAGTTGAATGTCAGTAATGTTTTGATAGAAAAGGAAATTGAGGGTTATGAGAACAAACAGGAAAGAAGAGTTAAGACCAGATTAGCCATGATCTTATTGAATGGTGGAGTGGGCTCAATGGGCCAAATGGCCTAATCCTGTTCTTAACTCCTATATTACTAGAAATGAAACCTAACGATATCTGTGGCTTTCAAGAGCAATTGTTGCGAAACAAACAATGATCTCTAGTGTCCTCTTTATTTCATTCAAATTAATAATGCTTTACTGTGGGAATGTCCTACATTTCTAATCTCAGGGAACACATTCTGCAGAGAGTATAGGCATCATTGACTTTTGTTATAGTAGTACTATGTAATTAGAGCGGGGGTGGTTGTTAATTGAAAATGATTTGTGTATGCACACAAAAGTTTCTCGTTCTAATTCCATCCAACAAGAAGACACATGAAACTTTGGGACCTTAACCCATCCACAGGAGCATTAATCTACCGTAGCAGGAAAAATTTCATTTCAGTAATGAACTCCCAGGGAAGTATAATTAAATGGAGGAGAACACATTGTGATGAATTACACATTAGTCCATCAACAACAAACTGGGAGCCAGCCATAGAGTCTTAATGCTTAACCCATCTGTGCAAGAATTAGTTCTAAAATGAAATCACCATTAGGCTTTATGAGATCATTTGATGACATTGGTATCAACAAACCCAGGAAAGCACTGGTCCCTGCACTGATCGTAGAGAACATAGAACAGTACAGTACAGTACAGGCCCTTCAGCCCACGATGTTGTGCCAACTTATTATCCTACTCTAAGATCAAACTACCCGGCACACCCTACATTTTACTATCATCCATGTGCCTATCCAAGAGTCGCTTAAATGTCCCTAATGTATCTGACTCTACTACCACCGCTGGCAGTGCATTCCATGCACCAACCACTCTCTATGTAAAGAACCTATCCCTGACATCTCTCTTATACCTTCCTCCAATCACCTTAAAATTATGCTCCCTTGTGATAGTCATTTCCGCCCTTGGAAAAAGTCTCTGGCTATCCGCTCTATCTATGCCTCATCATCTTGTACACTTCTATCAAGTCACCTCTCATCCTTCTTCACTTCAATGAGAAAAGCCCTAGCTCCCTCAACCTTTGCTCATAAGACCTGCCCTCCAGTCCAGGCAACATCCTGGTAAATCTCCTCTGCACGCTCTCGAAAGCTTCCACATCGTTCATATAATGAGGCAACCAGAACTGAACACAATATTCCAAGTGTGGTCTAACCAGGATTTTATACAGCTGCAGCATAACCTCGCGGCTCTTAAACTCAATTCCCCTGCCAATGAAAGCCAACACACCATACGCCTTCTTAACAACCCTATCAACTTAGGTAACAACTTTGAGGGATCTATGGACGTGGACTCCAAGATCCCTCTGTTCCTCCACACTGCCAAGAATCCTGCCATTAACCCTGTATTCTGCATTCAAATTCGACCTTCCAAAATGAATCACTTCACACTTTTCTGGGTTGAATTCCATCTGCCATTTCTTTGCCCAGCTCTGCATCTTGTCAATGTCCCGTTGCAACCTACAACAGCCCTCCACACTATCCACAACACCACCAGCCTTGGTGTCATCGGCAAACTTACTAACCCACCCTTCCACTTCCTCATTCAAGTCATTTATAAAGATCACAAAGAGCAGAGGTCCCAGAACAGATCCCTGCGGAACACCACTGGTCACTGAGCTCCAGGCTGAATACTTTCCATTTACTACCACAATCTGTCTTCTATTGGACAGCCAATTCTGTATTCAAACAGCCAAATTTCCTTGAATCCCATGCCTCCTTACTTTCTGAATGAGCCTATCATGGGGAACCTTATCAAATGCCTTGCTAAAATCCATATACACCACATCCACTGCTCTGCCTTCATCAATGTGTTTTGTCACATCCTCAAAGAATTCAGTAAGGCTTGTGAGGCATGACCTGCCCCTCACAAAGCCATGCTGACTATTTCTAATCAAACTGTGCTTTTCCAAATAATCATAAATACGATCTCACAGAATCCTCTCCAATAATTTCCCCACCACAGAAGTAAGACTGACTGGTTTGTAATTCCCAGAATTATCCCTATTCCCTTTCTTGAACAAAGGAATAACATTTGCCACCCTCCAACCATCTGGTATTACTCCAGTGGACAGTGAGGATGCAAAGATCATCGCCAAAGGTGCAGCAATCTCTTCCCTCGCTTCCTGTAGTAACCTTGGGTATAGCCTATCTGGCCCAGGGGACTTAACCATCCTCATGTTTTTCAAAATTTCTAGCACATCCTCCTTCTTAACATTAACCTGTTGCAACATTGCAAATACTTTTGATTTTACTAATGACCTTTAATTGATATTTATTCATTCGTTAGATATTGGCTTCACTGGCAATGTTGTTGCCTATCTCCAATTGTCCTAGAGAAATTGGTGATGAGCCACCTTGAACTGCTGCAGTCCATGTGGTAGGTACACCCGCAGTTTTGTTACAGAGGGAGTTGACAAAAAATAAATTCCCCCTTGAGTAGTTACAGCAACTCCATACCCATTGAGATTGAGCTGCCATGTCCCAGGATCTCAAGCAGTAACCTTTCATCTCACTGAAGCTGAGATCTCACATTCAGATGAAACAGGAAGTTAGAACCCATTAACTCACATTCACCATGCTTTCAGCCTCAATTTCACTGAGAATACATGTTCTGTTTTCCCTCTTCACCTCTCACATAATAATCATTGAGCGTGAAATGTTACTGCTTGAGATCCTGAGACATGGCAGCTCAATCTCAATGGATATGGAGTTGCTGTAACTATTCAAGGGGGAATTTCTTTTTTGTCAAACTGAAGTCTGCAATAAAGCTTGTACAATAATGCTAACACTTGTCATCTAATCCTTTCCTTTTCTCTGTGAATTCTGTACATATGAATGGATTCACCCTCCCAGCCTGATCGTTAGCAACTCCTTTGTCTGTCCAACTGTCTTTCTCTCTCTTTGGGCTCTATCCTATCGTTTACTCCCTACCCCACCCACCTCCCTATTTTCTGCATATAAACTGACGTTTTCCCAGCCACCATCGGTTCTGAGGAAGAGTCACCGGACCCAAAACGTTAACTCTGTTTTCTCCTCCACAGATGCTGCCAGATCTGCTAAGCTTTTCCAGCAACTTTGTTTTTGTTCCCTCTGTAACAAAACTGTGCGTGTACCTACACCACATGGAGTGCAGCAGTTCAAGGTGGCTGATCACTATTTTCTCTAGGACAACTGGAGATAGACAACAACATCGCCAGTGAGGCCAATATCTAATGAATGAATAAATATCAAATAAAAGGTCATTAGTAAAAATCAAAAGTATTTGCAATGTTGCTAGTGCCCTATGGCTATATTTACAAGATGCTGAATTAATAAAAGACAGTGTAAATAAGCCCTACACCTAAACTCTATAAATATATAGGAATAAATTACTACAGATGCTGGAACCTGTACTGAAAACAAAAAATGCTGGAAATTACAGAGGATCAGGCAGCATACACGAACAGAGAGCAAGCTAATGTTTCAAATCTAGATGACTCTTCATGAGAGCTGACGTAAAGTGTACAGGGGGCAGCATTTACGCAATAAATCTATACTTTGCCATCTTTACCCTTCTATCCTCCTCAATCAAAATCAGTACTGAGTGTACTTGTAAACAAAGGTCGACATCACAGGGATGTTTAGGTAGTCATGTTTGAAAAATAATACATTTCATTTTAACAATTCCAGTGATACAATTATCTTTACAATTAAAAAAAGAACTTTTACATTCCAGATTTATATTATTAATGGTTTCAAGATCCAAACTCGGTACATTAATCCTTTGAATAGGAAAACATATTGGCTATCTCAAGCACAGCACTGTAATGTATTTCCTTTAGGAAAGAGAAGAATTAGAGGTGATCTCATTAAAGTTTTCACAGTGAAGGTAATTGACGCCTCTGATTAACACAAAGTGAGCTTCCTTCACCTTAGCATAGGATCCGTCTTCTGAAACCCTTCTTAAATCCTATAGTTCCACTTTACTAGTTTTTCATTTGTTTCTTTTGTGAAACATTCTGGAATAGTTTCTGTTGTGCTATATCAGTGTAAACTTTTGCCATGGTGAAGGGCTTAAGCACCAGGGCATATAATATTTTGTGATTTTTATTGAACAAGAAGTGACAGTCTTTCACTATCTTAGCCACATCACAAAGTACCTATTTTCCTAACTGGCTGAAAGTTTCGTCTGTGGGTGGACAATGTAGTGTGGTAAAATGCTTCCAAGTAACTGATAGCCATATCCCCTTCTTCAATCATAATATTCATCAGCAAGTAAGTTGCATCTGTCAGTGAATTTTCCTCAGACAGATGGTCACTGCAATCCCCTTTGTACAGTATTTCACAAGAGTTTATCCTTAACTCAATATACTGACTAATAATGTAGAATACACATTTTATTTTTCTCAGTTTGCCAGCTATATGCCATTCAGTTTTGACTAAACGATGCCTACAACTCAGAATGCTATGT